CAGCCGATGTTCGAAACTCCGGCCAGCGCCACCTTCCTTGCTCCCAACTTGTACATCCGCTATATGTTTGTAATTTAGGAATTAATTATAAAATAAAAAATAATGTATAATGAAGAAAATAAAATAAGAATTCATTGAATTATAAATGTAAAGTTCACTAGATTAACAATTCACTTGTTTATGATACGTTAGGCATACATGGTGGAAAAAAAAAATTAAACAGATGGGGAGAATCGAGAATACTCTACAATAGTACGGGAACAGGGGGTTTTAAACGTATTTGTCCCTTCGGGGACATCCGATAAAATTAAACGTATTTAGTATAGTTATAGTGTATTATACAAGTATCAAAGCCACTTTTTCATAACTAGTTTCTAGTTTGTTATAAAAATTTAGAAGCTACACTACTACTAATGAATATTTGAACTCTATATTCTCTCCTAAAACGAAAGTCAACCTACGAATTTGAAACTAGCTAGCACAGAACAACCATACCATATGCTCAAAAGTAAAAATTTATATTGGGCAGTCTCCACAACACGAGACCTCTTAATCGAAAGCAATTTGATTATATAACAAGACTTACGTTAATCTGAGCGGAGTATTGAGTGATGAGGTGCGCGGCGAATTGGTCAGGGTTATACCGATTCCTGATTTCGGTAGATTGGGGCAGAATATAGTTGTTGAGGTAATCGTTGTTGCCCATGTTACATATGTACAAGCATTGCCCTAGGTGCTCGCCGGCAGCCTGCTTGCTCCCCAATATCTGTGCTATACGTGATACCGTCACTTCGTGATTCTTCAATTGCTGGTCCAGGTCTATGTTGTCACCCTACAAAAAGGATAACAAAATTTACAATTGTACCATCATACAATTTCGGGTTGGGAATCGGTTTGTGTTTTTCGGTTTAATAAAAAACCGAACCGTATTAACCCGTTCCATTTGGTTTTCAGTTGCTATAGTTACAATAACACCAACCTGATCCGATCCGGTTTTACACCGAGAAACTGGATATGATTAATGAGGTCCCAACCCAACCCAATCCAACCCAATTTCCAGACGAGCCCAAACCATACATGACGGTGAGGGAGTTGGTCTAGATGAAAGATATTGATCCGGTTCAACTGGAATGAACCATTTCTCACCCCATCACTTGGGATGGCAAAATTATCCGTAACCATGGATATCCGCTCGAATCCGACCTAATCGGGTAGGGTAAAACCCGAACCCGAGGAATTTTAGTGGGTACGGATAAAACCCGAACCCGAATATTACGGATAATGGGTGGGCATGGTTTTCTCACTATCCAGCCCGAACCCGCCCGATTATACACATGGATATGTATTTTGTCTATAAATAGTCACTATTTTTCTCTAAAGATATTTTATTTTACATATAAATATAATATTTTTATAAAATTGTGTTGTTTTAATTAATTTTCTTCATTTTATTGAATTATTATCTTACTTTTCCTATTATGTAATGTGGGAATACGTGTGAATGTTAATGTATTGGTTGAAGTTATAAAGATAAATTATTCCATGGATAACCGTGGATACCCGAAACCCGAACGGGTATGGGCATAGTTTTGATTTTCTACCTGTTTCTTATGTGGGTATGGATATGGGTAAAACCCGAACTACTTTGAATAGGGTAACGGAATGCACTTTCTGCCCCCAACCCGACCCATTGCCATCCCTACCCATCACATATGATGACGTGTTGTGCTCATTATCACAACTATGTCTTTTTTTTTATTTAGATAGTTCAAGATCAGTGGTAATACACTACTAGACTAATCTCTTGTCCGCTTATCACAACTCTGTATTTTAATTGGTTTTTTCCATGGCCAAATTTTTTTATTTGGGTTGATGACATTTTGCATAATAATCCACTATGATTAATTAGAGTGGGGAAAAAGGCCTCAAAATAGCTGGAAAAACAAGCCAAATAGTGAGTCATATATAGAAATTAGAAAATTAACCAGAGAGCAAAAAGGTGAAGAGAGTTGGATTGAGTCGACAAAGAGAAATTTTCAGCATGTACTAAGCTTGTGGATGATTTAGTTAGCTAATTATAAGCTAACTATTTTCTTGATTAAGAGTAACTAAAAAAGAACAGCAAGAAAAAGAGGAAATTAACTAATAATAATAATTAATTAATTACCCCCAGTTTTCCACTCTCGAATAGAATTCCGGCGGACCCCGATGCGTAGTTCACCCCGACGAGTATCTGTCTCTCGTCGGGGTTCGATGCAAACGGCGGGATGAATTTTCTGAATCCCAGCATTTCACCTTCATACCCAAAAAAAAGAAAAAAAAGAAGAAGAACAATTAGTTAATAAATATTTATGATAATTAATTATGTTTGAAGTAATTAACTAATTAATTGGTCAATTAATTAAGCGCATGCACCAATTAAATCGGCGGTGGTTCGGCCGTTGGAGAACCTCCCGGTGGGTCCGGCGGGGAAATCGACGCCGTACGGGGAGTAATTGACCTTCGTCACCGTGCTGAGGTTGTTGTTGTTGCCGTTGTCGAAGAGGGAGTCCCCGAATATGAAGTAGCAAGGCACCCGCGGCGCAAACCCGTCGGCGGCTCCGGCTGCCAGTGCAACAACGACGACGGCGATGAGCATGAAAAGTGGTGGAGGCGGGCGTGAGTGGAGAGAACTCCGGCGACTTCCCATTGCCGGACACTAGAAGAAAGAAACAAATATTACGATAAATAATGTATTGGATGAAGGCGGAAGAGAACGTTAAGAAAGTGTGTTGGGGTGGTAGAGAAAAATATGGCAATGGGCAATGCTAGGGTATATATAGCTCGCACGTCGTAGATGAAGATTGCCCAATCGATATTCATCGTTTAAATTTTGTTTACATTACTAATTTAGTTAATAATTATATTAGATAGGAATTGAAGCTTTTTTATTATTATTATTATTGAATGTGGGAATGCTTGTATTAATTGAAAGCTGGTGGTGTAAAATGTCAACGTTGATAGATTTTATTCTCTCAAAAAAAAAAAAAGTTGATAGATTTTATTATAAATTTATAAGTGACCAATTTTCTAACTAAATTTTATACAAGTTAGGATGGTGAATCTAGTGTAAGATAGGGTGCATTACATTTTCATCCTTGATTTTTTGGAAGTGGGGTCAGATTTAAGGAGTGAGATTAAAGTACTTATTGTTTTTTAATCGACTTTTATTGTTTTTATTTTAACTTGGATGTCAAAATTTTGCATAGATGAAACGGGTTCTTTCTGATCTACAAAATTATATTCATTTGCAAGATATTTCGAGAAAAGAATTTTCATACCACTCGTTAGTCATTTCCACCCTAGTATCATCTGGTAGGGGCGAACCCAGGGGCCTTTGGCGGTGTCCCGGGACATCCCTAAAATTTGTGAAAACGATTATCCAATTCCCGATAGTAATATATGTATCGACAAAAAAATTATAATTGATAGTTGGAGACACCCCTGAAATTTGAAAAAATTATTATCCTACTCTATCATTTTTTTGTTTGCGTATGGAATATAAGTGGTAATTTGGATAATTCAGATCTAAGACACTAGTATTATTAATGAACATAATTTCCATTAGGCTACAACTCATTTGTTGTTCGATTGTAAACACTGTATAATAGTCTCTAACCCTAATTATTTTCAAAAGTTAACAATTAAACTGATTTCAAACTACAGTTAATTTGTATTGATTTTATGGTTGCACGAAATGTGCTGAAATAGTCTTTTCAGTTTTGGGTTACATAAAGAACAAGTTTAGAAATCGAATATGATATTAGTTCATGAATGATTGTCTAGTAGGATATGCAGAGACATTTTTTTAGCAGTGTAGACACCAAGTGTATTCTATAATTATTTCCGAATATAAAAACACACCGTGGACTTTTTTTAACTTGTACAAGTCAGATACTTTCTTAGTTAAGAATTATTTAATTGTTATTTTTATTTTATTTATATTTTAAAAGAGGACACCCTTATATAAAATTACCGGGTTCGTCATAGGCATCTGGTATCACTTGGTACCACCTACGTTTTTAGTTAGCTCGAATTTTGAAAATTTTTGCCTACAAGAAACTAGTACTTCATGATCTATGGATCCACAAATTTCTGGGAGAAAATATTTCAAAACCAAATATACCACCCAGGTATTATGTGGTGACTGATTGGGTCATATACATTAATGAAAGATGGTAAATGATGGTTAGTATATTCCTACTATAATATGAACAATCATTTCTACACTCTACTATCTTCATATCACTATGATACACTTTCATAACCCGTAGGATAATCTTATGTACTACAAAGTATGTCAAAGTAGATGTTATTTTGAACACAAAAAATTATATTTTCTATGAAAAAAAACGAACATAAAAAGGAAGAGAAATTGTCCATCAAAATCAATTGAAGGAAAAGTTAGAGACATTCCATAAATGGTAATTGGAAGGTTATATTGCATTGTATCCAACACCTTTTTGTGTGACTGGCCAACATAGTTAATATTGAATTTCATATTGAAAAAGGAGGCACACATCAAGGCAGAAGTCGGATCAAGCAAATATCCTCTCACATTAGCTTGTACTAGTTTTTCTGGCAGTGGCGGATCTAGGGGAGGCCCCTTCAGGATACGACCCAGCCATCTTTTGGGTCCAAAGATAGTATAGTATTTATAAATTTTTAGACTTTAGGTATTCAGTCCAGTGCTAGTCAGGCCACAACCAACACTCTCCGCCTCTTTTCAAATTTGACCCAGTGTTATACTATATTTTGGATCTGTCACGTTTCTTCTAACTTGCACTTGCTTCTTTTAGAGAAGGCTTGGCTCTGTTTATGCTATTTTCATCTAGGACAACTAAAATCTTCTTTTCCGGTCAGCGTGCGTGAGAGCAGGCGAACAGCTCAAAGAAAAAAGAGTCTAGTCTAATATGAATTCAAGTACGACTGGTGCTATGTTCGAGAATGACGTCGTCGGGGTCCCATTTGTGACCATGTAACTCTCTAATTAGTTAATGAAAGATGTGTAACAAAAGTTATTTCTTAGAAATCAATCGGTGTCAGTTTGCTTCACTAACCTTTCCAAACCCCATAAATCCAAAATCTTCCTTATTATTAGGAAAGAAAGTACAAATTAAAGTCACCATAAAAAAAAGCTCTACATTATAGCTCGAGTCCTCTTTCACTAGTCTCCTCAGCACGTCTCCCACTTTTAACACCTGCAATATATTTTTCTTAACATTAAATTATTAAAAAGACTTTGCCCTAAACCCAAAACTCTTCTTAAAACATGCATCTCTCTCTCTCTTATTATTACAGATAAAAACTCTTATCCTTTTCTTTGATGTGTTACATTAACAAAATCACAGACCTAATAAATAAAATTTCAATAGGAATATGATAAAAAATCGTTCTTTTACAAAAGCTTATGAATTCAAATTAGCTGTTAGTGGGATACCAAATGCCATAATGACTATACGAAATCATGTATGCACTTCAATCGTACGTATTTCGGCGAGAAAAAAACTAAGAACACTGCATGCAGATAGTTAACATCTAAATTTACGTTCTAGATCTTCTGTCGTTACTGCTTGCCTATATCGAGAGCGGCCAGGCTGTGGAGATCGAACGGGTCGCTATCAGAAGGCAGCAAGGATTTGTAAGTTCGGTCTGCAACGGCTTTGTGGCCGGTTTCCGTCGGATGAAACGAATCCCAAAACACGTACTCCTTTCTGTTCGAACAAGGAGTTTCGCCTTCCACACACTGTCCATCTTCTCTCGATTTGCAGCATCCACTGGTTATGTACTTGAAACCTACACAGATCGAAACAGAAACCAAAGGGGGAAAAAAAAAAACTTTATCATCGTGGCTTCATCGATCCATGCTGCTATACGATTTGAAAACAGATTATCTATGCAATTGACTCAAGAGGATCTTGTTCCTTTAGTCAAGACTCAAGGTCTAGTTAAGGATTCTCCGCATTGTGAATGAAAGTAAAACAGGTTAGAGATCATCAATCATTAATCTGGCTAGTGGCTAGGCGAAATAATACCTAAGTGAGTTCACAACCTGTAATTAGATTAACTTTAACTGTAGTTTGCTAGAGTAGTTTTGGTTCTTCCATTTTAATCTGGCTAGTGGCTAGGCGGAATCATACCTAAGCGAGTTCACAACAACTAATTAGATTAACTTTATCATGGTGGCTTCATCGATCCATGCTGCTATACGATTTGAAAACAGATTATCTATCGTCGACTATTTCGAATCGGGTCTGCAACCTTTTTTCCCCCTTTTTCAGGTTCGATTAGGATTAGGCCGTCTGGAGAAAGTATTATATATGCATACTTTCTCAATATATGTACTATGTATCTTCTCAAGTATAGTGAAACACTGAAACTGATCTCTCGTACCCATAAATTAGCTAACACACATGGTGTTAGTGAACAACGTAGTTTTTTGCATTGTCGATTTTCCAATATGTTACAACAAATCTAGAATCACATGCATGTGATGAATGGCGGAGCCACTTTGGGCCAAAGTGGGCCATTTGCACCACCTTGTAGGGCTCGCTATTTGGTCCGGACTGTTTGGTTTTACCCGAAACCGGACCGTATAAACCGGACCGGGACCGGATAGCAAACAATCCAATCTCATATTCGGGCTTTTTGAGGTAAAAAAAAAGGACAAGAGACCCCAAACACCTAAAATCAAGACCAAATTGGGACCGGACCGGGTCAAGACCGGACCGGATCAAGACCGGATTGTATCCAATCCAATCTTTGGTCCTTATATTCCCGAAAAGACCGGATTGGGACCGGATCAATTTGGTCAAATTTAACCGGACCGTATAGCCACCCCTACCACCTTGGCTCAAAGAAATGTAGAGTAAATTTCTTTATGTGATTATCGATTGAATATAAGATCTCCCTATTATTCTAGATAGTGTACAAAAATTAATGTTTTGTGATCTCTATATAACTTTTTAATTTAAATGAGTTTAATATAAACAGTAACTCAAAATTGATCAGGGGTGTTTGTTGCTATCGGTTGTCATTGTAAGTGTTGAAAAAGCACTTACTTACTGCAATAACCAAAGTAAAAAAAAAACACTTCAGAATTAGATTAGTTGGTGGAATTATGAACAGTTTTTTCGATTTGGTATCTAAACATCCCTCATAATTTTCATGATGAATGTATTTTAGAAAAAATTTCAGAACATGAACACATAATGAAACTTAACGTTATATATATATTCCCCCACATCTGAACTACCTTAAATAAATTTCTGGCTACGCCACTGCATGTCATGTAAGTATTTGGTGGATGAAGGTATATATATGTTACCTAGAATCGTGGGATCCCCATCGCTCATCCCGTAAGAGTTGATGTAGATCAACTTGGCGTCTTTGAGCTCCTTGTTGAGATCGACGACGAGCTTCTTGAGCTGCTTGTTGAAGTTCTGCGCCGCCGAGTTCACGTTCTGAATGCACTTGGAGCCCTTGGTGCCGAACATATCCATCATGTGGGGGACGCACCCGACCTTCCCGACCCCGACCACGGCTATCTTCCTCGCCCCGTAGTGGTGCAGAGTCTGCACGCACGCATGCGTTCAAAAGAACCAGTTGGTCCGAATAATTCGAGTTGTTGGAAATGTATCGATACGGGGGAAAATGAATTACGTACGTACGTACCTTGATTTTGTCACGGTAGGTGGTGGCGAGATGAACGGTGAACTTATCGACGGAGTACAGCTTGCTGGTCTTGTATTGCTTGGGAAGGAAGTAGTTGTTGAGGAAGTCGTTGCTACCGATCGACATGTAGTATATGCAACCGTTGAGGTGTTTCGTTGCCGAGTCTTTGCCGCCCTTCATGGCCGCGATCTTGGAGAATGTTTTCTGGTGGTTCTGGACCTGTGTCCCCAATGGCACGTTCTTTCCCTACATCCATGCAATTCTCGTCAATAATGCGTTGATGTCAATAAATCGAGTGATTGGAAGATGATTCAAACTCATATTGGTTGAAGTTTGCACATCTTCAAGTACCATATGTTTAACAAATAGGGTGATCACTGGAAATCCGGGATTCAAACAAAAAAACCCCTCGATTCCAAAAGGCTCTGATTGATATCATTAACTCGATTTGTTTGTAGGATTCAATTATGAATCATATACCCACTTACTAACACATCTCTAGCTTCAAACGAAAACCAACTTATAGAAGTTCATAATTTGCACATGTTTGAATATGATGTGCCTAACAAACATGGAATTATTAGGATTCGAACAGAAAATCTCTCGATTACATAAGTCTCTTATACTATATCAGGAACTAGTTGATCTCAATAATTCGAGTCATTGGGAGAGATCCAGTCATTAGGAAAGATCCAATCATGGATCATATCATATACCACTTATTAAACATACTCTCTCAAACGAAAGTTTACTCAAATTATATTAAAGTTTGCACAAGTTCGAATACCAAATGCTTAACAAATAGGAATCTGTTCGAACGGAAGACCTCTCGATCACATAAGTCTCTGATTTCATGTCAAGAACCAATCGATCACATATAACTCGAGTTATCATAAATAATTCAAATCTTAAATCATATACCACTTATTAACACAATTTTGTTTCTCACATAGTTTAAATTGAAAAAAACAATCAATTTATTGAGAAAATGTGTGTTGTTAATTACCAGATGCTTGCCGGTTTCGTCGAGGATCCCGGCGGAGCCCGACGCGTAATTTATCCCTTGGAGTATGCTGTCACCTTTCGCGGTTGTGAACGGTGGAATCGGATTACCAAACCCCAGATGTTCGGCTGCAACAACGTCGCAAAGGAAAAGAAACCCCAAATTCAAAACACACCAAAAAAAAAAAACTCAATGTGGTCTACGTCGAGAGAGAGGGCGAGACAAAGAGCGAACCGAGAAAATCGACGGCGGTGCGGCCGTTGGTGAACCGGCCGGTGGGGCCATCGGGGTAGTCGATCCCGTAGGGTTTGTAATTCGCTTTCGCCTTGGTGTCGGCGTCGTTGTTGTTGCCGCAGTCGTTGAGGGAGTCTCCGAAGATGAAGAAACAAGGTACTTGTGGATCGGCGGCGGCGGTGACCACCTCGTACAAGGACGACGACGAGGTGATTACCGACAAGAAGACGGCGAGGATGATCATTATCAGCGCCGGGGGGATGTCGTGTGATGGCTTAGCCTTTTCTCTTTGCCATTTTTGGAGAAGGGTGTGGCTTATTACAATGGTGGAGGAAGTATCGACTTGCCACTTAGCATCGTGGTGAGTCATTTGGCCGGCCACCCTTGAATGACGGGTTTACAAGGTTGATAATTTTTCTTTTTGAAGTTTCTTTTTATTGCAAAGCAGAAGAAATTAAGAACGGAATTGGCCCATATGCATAAATTATTTTCGTAAAATAATTCAATAATCTAATTTATATCTTTGCAGTGACCCATTTGGGTGATTTGAGCCAAATGTCATGTCCCATATTGGTATTGGGTTGGACCTAAATTTTTACCTATGTGTATTTTTAATGATTTTGGGTATGGGTTAGGTTTGAATTGGGTTCTATTATGGTCAATTAATTTCGGTTATATTCAAATGAGTCTGATTGGATCTAGATGATTATATAAAAAATAAAAAAAACAATATCAACTATTCATTAACTACCTTCAACCCAATTGTACACATTTGATGTAGGTAATTTTCATCTTTCAATTATTTTCATAATAAAAAATAAGAAAGTAATTGCATTATAATTGGGTACCCATTTTCTTTTGAGTTTTGAATATTATGAGTCCAATTTAGACTCAAACTAAAAAATTGGAATGACCGTATGGCAATTTTTTTTTTTTATCTAAACTTGATTTGAGCCAGAGTTTGAATAATATCCAAACATTGAGACCCAATTTGTCATCCCCATAGTTCAGTCTCTTGCTCAGAAGCTTGCATGGAGAACACATTGAACAATTCACTTTCAGAAGAGAAGAGAAGAGAAGGTGTACAAAGACCCACGAGGGATCGGAATCAGAACTATATGGCAATCAGCCCAATCAGCTCGGAATTCGGATTGAGAGGGGACGGGCCTGCTTTGTCCTCTCTTATGCGATTATGCCCACCCTCATTACCGACCCAAGTAATTTGGGCCTCTTCCAGTTTTAGGCCCAACAAATTTGCTACCGTAGAAGACAAGAAATCCACAAGTTGTGCGTGGGAGAAGTTGAGATTAGAGATTGTCATCTCTCCTTTCTCGCAGATTTGCTATTTCTAATCTCTTCAAAAGTTTCTTTTAAACCTGCGACAGCGAAACTCTCTTCCAAATAATTGTAACCAGTCGGTACCCCCGGGAACCTATGTCATCACAGCAGCTACACCAGCCACTACAGTTGTAACTGCTGCAACCGGTAGCTTTACCTTTTTCTTATATTAAGATAGCACTCATCGCATCTCGAAAGAGGCTACGCCCCTCCTTGCCCAAGAGTTCTCGACTAGGAAGTCAGATAAGTTTATAGTGATAAAACTACCTAGGGTAGGAAAAAAGCGCAGAGGTTCCGTGTTAAAGCCCAGAGGGTAGGAACGAAAGGAAGAAAGGAGAGGTAGGAGGTAGAGGTAGAGGTAGAAGGGCGAGTGTTAGGTAGAGGTTACGTGTTAAAGCACTAGAAAAGGATTGATTGTCAGCAGGTAAGCGCGAGTCTTTTGGAGCTGTCGTACTGTCCTTTGAAGAAATCCCGCACCTAAGGTGATTCCTCTAGACTTATTCCAGTTCTGCGCCTCTGAGTTTGGTAGGGAAGGGTTAGGTTGAGTTGTATCAAATTCAAATTTAATCTAGTTGAATAGCCACAAAAGGAAATTGGAGAAATATTTAATGGGTTCTGGAACCTCAAATTCAATCCACTGAACAGTGCAACGAGTTTCAATTCGAACTAATCTACAATTAGTCGACATGGATTTTATCTACTTTGAACGGGTAGGGTAATAGTAAATTCGGATTTTATTGTCATCTTTTAGTTGAGATGCACTAAACTAAAGTATGAACGATCTTTGGATCAGGTTGAAGCTTATGAGTTGTTTGTTTGATTGTTTGATGCCTTTGGGTAGCAAATCTCGACTAGTATGGATTTGGCAAGAATTCATTGTTTGTTTACAAATTTTGGTGGTGTAAAATTTGTAGGAACTAGGGATGGCAATGAGTCGAGTTTTGTCAAACCCATGGGTTTATCCGTGAAAAGAAACCGGAGTAAAATCAATTGGGTTTGAAAAACTCAAACTCAACCCAACTTGCTGGGTATCCGTGGGTTCATTGGTACTCTAGGGTTTTTGTCGTAAGAAATTTACAATAACAAGTTCCTATCAAAATTCAAGTCAAATATCAATCTCTCAATACAAATTATCCATATATAAAACACCATTTTAGAAAATTCAAGCAAATCACAAATGAACTATACAAATTGTTACACCAATCTAGAAAACTCAAGAAAATTGAAGCAAATCACAAATTATCCATAAACAACATGATTAATTGAAAGCTTCTTCTTCCTTGTCAATTAAGTTTCTTCACTCTCCACTCGATAATATCAACTTCATTCTACTCAATTAGAAAGAAAAAATTAGACGTGTCTCCACAAACATAAAGAAGATTAGTTGTTTAGAATATTAAATATACATGGAAAATTGATTAAATGGGTATAGGCGTGTACCCATGAGGTGGATTTACCTAAATTCAAACCCAACCCAACCTAGTGAACAGTGAACAGGTTCAAACTCGAACCCGACTCAAAACCCGTCAACATGAATTTTACCCGCGTTGACCGGATATGGTACCCGTGGGTTCGGGTTTTGTTTCCATCCCTAGTAGGAAGTATAGACTTGATAAGCCCAAATTATGTGAGGTCAACGTAATTTGTTCATTATTTTTTCTATGAATATGTACTCGGAGTATTCCGTCGGAATTAACCAAAACCCACAAATTTGTTCATTGTTTTTCCTGTAAATATGAACTCGGGGAATTTACTATTTAGTCGGTACTAAGCAGATATTAATACGAAAAGTTATCTCTCAAACCATAATATCCATATCCTCTTAAATTTTTTATCTTCCTCTCATTCTAGGTCGTCGGCCATTCTTTTCAAGTTTTTATTTCAAATCGTTAAATCTCAATTCTCTCATTTCTATCATTATCCCTATTCCTACTTCTCAATCCATAAATCTCATCTGTCGTATCTTATCACGAGAATCACACGAGACCGAAGAACCGTATTTCTTACATTCTCTGATGTAACACCGAAACCAAAACAAACATCTTCCCTCACCTATAAATATAATCACCCTAGAACCGCTAATAAGTCTTTTCCCTTTTTTCTCTCTTCTTCTGCATCTCAATGGAACATTCTGCAACTCGAGTGATTCGTATGTCTACAGTGAGTCAGTGACGCATCCCATCCAATCCAAGCCGCCAACAATTTCGCCGGTCCATTTCTCTACTAGACTTTGAAACAAATTTTGTACAATGTGACAAATGTTCCCAAAGTAGGAATTTAGGGACAGGATTGAGGTTTCAATCAATATCTTACAGATGCATGACAATGAGTTCTAATAAAAGAGGCAAGATTCTGAAACTTCCATTTCATCACTACACAATCATTACAGCACCACAAAAATAGTTGGCAAAAAACAGAGACAATTCACAAATCTGTTGGAACACTTGGGAGAAGAAACACCAAAAAACAGAGTATTTTCATATGCTTGGCAAGAACAAGTATACAAATGAAGGAAGGACTGCCGCAAGTGCAAATAGCAACGATGTGCCTCAGCTGGTCTCTCAAAGGTCTCCCGTGAGGGAAGTTTAGAGCTAGGCGAGGGCGAGCCGGCGAATGTCGTAAGGGTAAGCATCGGAAGGCGACGCCGCCCTGTAAGACCTCCGCCCGACGACTACATTCGCCGCCTCCGTCGGGTGGAAAGCATCCCAGAACAAGTACTCGTTCCTGTTCCGGCACGGCGTCTGGAACGGCAAGCAAGTAATCTGACCGTTGTTCCTCCCAACTCCACAGCACCCGGCGTTCGTCACTCTAAACCCTGAGTTATAAACAAAAACAATCCCCAAAAGCAAGAACTTACTCTGTTTTTCTATATTCAGGGGAGACATAATAGAAAAAGAAACAGGGTAAAAAAACAGGGGAGCTCTGATTTCTTACCGAAACGAGCAGGGGCGTTAATCAAGTCCTGGAAAATCCCGTACGCATTGATGTAGATGAATTTCGCATCGGGTGTGTTCCGATTGAACTGCGCAACGAGAGATCGGAGCTTGTTGTTGAAGATCGTATTCGCGGCGTTGATCCTCTGCACGCAGGTCCTCCCGTCGGGGCTCCCCTGCGCCAGCTCGCTGGGGCTGCACCCGATCTGACCCACTCCGATCAGCACGAACTTCCTCGCCCCGTAGTTATACATGATCTGAGATCGAGAACCCATATCCGAAAACAATTCAATCAACAAAACAGAGAACAGAAATTTCAGATCAGGCGCGCGCGAGAGCGATCGAAGGGGGTGGAAGTAGTTTGACCGACCTGTAGCTGCTGAGTGTATCGGCGGATGAGGTCGCTGGCGTACTGCTCCGGTGTGAACTGGCTGCCGGTGTTGTAGAACTGCGGCATGAAGTAGTTGTTGAGATAGTCGTTGCTCCCCAATCCGATGGAGTAGATGCACTTTCCCAAATGGTCCGCCGCCGCGTCCTCGCTGCCGAGGATGTCCACGATCTGCCGCACCGTGTTCTGGTAGTTCCTCACTTGCCCGCTGAAGCTAATCCTTCCTCCCAGCTGCCGGCCGGTTTCTTCCCGGATCCCCGCCGCCGCCGAGGCGTAGTTCACTCCTCCGAGAACGTCCTGCCCGCTCGCCGTCACGTACGGCGGGATGTAGTCGTCGAATCCCAATTGCTCGGCTACGAGAAGAAGAAAAGAAACACACAAAACAGTCCGTCAAGATTGAGGCTTCTTGTAACCGTAGCTATAAATTGAAAACAAATTATCTGCTGTCGATTGAAAGTCACGAGTTTTGTACTTTTTGGTGTAGGATCAGCAATCGGAGTTCAAGGACGAAGTCTCAAGTTTGGGTGTCTGGGGCACAAATTAATCCGTGGACCTAACTAACACACATCGTGTTATTGAATCACGTAAATTAATGTGCTCTTGACTTTCTTGCATTTTTTATTTCACATTTCGTTACATTATGGTATGTCAGGAGGGGAAAAAAGGAAAGTGACACGATGTAACGTACCGATGACATCGACGGTGGTTAAGCCGTTGGAGAAGCGGCCCGAGGGGCCGCCGGGGAAGTCGATACCGTAGGGCATGTAGTCGGCTCTGGCGAGGGACTGGAGCTGGTTATTGTTGCCGTTGTCGACGAGGGAGTCGCCGAAGATGAAGTAGCCGGGGACTTGCTGTGCAATGGCACAATGTTGTGGGCATGGCTACTTGCCGAAGATGAAGTAGCCGGGGATTTTTTCCAAAATTTTACCACACAAAACTCAAACTATAAGATGACAGAAGAAGACCAAACTATAAGTTATAATACTCCTCCGGCGGTTATCCTCCTCTATTATTTGTTCTTCTTTCGAAAACATTGACGTGATAGTCTTAAGACTGGCATTATTGCAGCATTACCCATTCCTTGATGGGACTACCGGAATAGAATAAGATGTCGAGTATCAATCCCATCATTTTTTCCTAGAGGGTAAAGAAAGAAAGGAAGGAAGGGATATGAAGAAGAATCAAATCTTGGTTGCTAGCTACTAGCCATCTCAAGGCACAAATTAAAGAGGCACAAATTAAAGAGGGCAACTGATCGGGTCGGAAGGAATAGTGCATTTTCATTATTCTATCTAAAACAGTTCGGATTTTACTCATATTTGTATAAGAATCACGTAGAAAATAAAAACCATGCTCATACTCGTTTGAGTTTCGGGTATCCACGATTATCTATGAATAATAATTTATCACTATAATTTCAACAAACATGTCAATTCACACGTATACTCACTTTCGAAAGTGAAAACGTACAATAGATTACTAGAATAAAGAAAATTAATTAAGAACAACACAATTTCATGAAAATATTATATTTGTATGCTAAATATAAAATATGTTGAGAAATTTTTTTTATCATTTCTAGACAAAATATGTATGCATGCGTACAATCGAGCAGGTTCAGGTTGAATAGTAAGATTACCATGTTCAACCATTACCCGCAATATTCAAATCGGTTTGACCCATGCCCACCGAAAAATCTTCGGGTTCGAGTTTTACCGTACCCGATTGGTCAGATTCGGGTGAATATCCACGGTTGCGGATATTCTTACCTCCCTAGAACAAATACAGAGTACTCATGCTTCTAGCAGTGGCGGAGGCAACATTTCAAACCACCCCTGTCCTCTTTTCATAACTTAAATATATAAGTATCTAATAAAAGAATTATTTAATAAAAAATAATTATATCCAAATAATTCATTCATAAATTAAAAATAACCGATTATAATGGCTATCATACTTATTAGAAACAACTACGAAAGAATTTCATATAGTGAAAGAAACGCAAAAACATTCGTTGTCTACGCTATTATATAAGTCTCTTTCAATGTATCTTAATTACTAAACAAGTATTAGCAAACTGGTCGCCAAATCGACTTGGAAACTTGTTCTTAATATAACTCAAAGCTGAAAATGCTCTTTTTACACTTGCAGTTGTAATTGGTAGATCAAAACTAGTGGGATTGCCGTTGTCGCTAGAAAATTTCAGGATTGTTGGGGAAATATCGAATAGGCATAAGGAGAAAAGAAACCCGATTAAGTCTTTATTGCAATTGGAATTTCGTTTATTGTATAATAAATTAATTTTATGTCAATTTTGGACAAGTAATGAATTGTGTTGTAGTGACAAAGTACTCTAATACTACCTATACGTGTTGTATTCCATCACCAATATAAATATATATGACGTATTTTTGTTCCACCGAAATTTACCTCTGTCGCGGGACAAGGCCAAAAGGCCCTGCCTCCGCCACTGGCTCCTAGTGCACAAGGTACTATTTACATAGCATGATGTCAACCCAAAGAAGAATGTGGATGGATAGCAGATTACAATTGTACGAACTTGTTAGTAAGCAAGTGGGTCAATTTGAGTTCAAAACCTACCTAACCAACTCCCTATAATTAGAATTTGTCTTTGTAAGTCAGTGGCGGTGGGAGAATATAAGAGGTTGGGTCCCGGCTCGGATGAAAAATTGTTAAATTAGGTACAATAGTTAATCGATACAAAAAATTAGGGAGCTTCTTATTGAAAATAGTTTATCGAAAGATATTGTGTTTGAATCTTTGCAACTTCATTTTTTAAGCACATGGTATTTTGATTTGTGCAACTCCAACAATTCGAGTTATTGATATTAAACGATTCTTAACAAAAAATATCATTTGAAAAAAAAGACTAACAAAATCATGAATTATTAATTTATTATGTTGTGTAAGATTCATTATTAAACTTCTCTCAACAACTACTCGAGTTGTTGATACTAAATGATTCTTGACAAAAACGTTATTCAAAGAGAACAACTAACTAAATCATTAAAAATTGTTTGGTACACAGGTGATAAATATGATATTTTCAATACTACTAATGTATTTTTCTTTACCAAAAAATATCAATAATAAATTATATAATAAATTATATAATGAATTAACAAAAAATATTTTATGAAGTGTAATTTTCTTTTAAGTGGACCTACCTTGGACAAAATTCTGACTACGCTGCTACTGTTGTAAGCGGGCCAAGATAGGGTGAGTAACTTTAGGGTGAGTAACAATGAGTAACCCAATCTAGACCCTTCTTTTAAGTGACTGCAGATCTAAGGGTGGAGAATTAAAAGAATTTATTTTCCCTAGTTTTCTTAATTGGATCATATCTTCTTCATTATAACTTGGATTTCAATTTTTTTTGCACAGATGGAACGAGTTCGTTGTTTTCTACAAAATGATATCCATTTTCAATAATTTTTGAGAAAAAAATTCATCCCTCTCGTTTGCAACTCCATACCATATGGTATCTCCTTCGTTGTTTAGTCATTTTTGGAAATTTTTACACAAAAGGAACGATTTAATCATGATCTATTGGATTTCAAAATTTTCTGGGGGAAAAAATTTCAAACCTCTCGTTACCAACTCTATACCATACTATACCACCCTGGTATGAGGTGGTATTTTTTATACCATATGGTATGCTGTTATTTAATACCATATGGTATTGACTGGTATTAAATAACAACATATGGTATTGGCTGGTTCATACCATATGGTATGTTGTTATTTAATATATACCAGTCAATACCATATGGTTCATACCATATGGTATGTTGTTATTTAATATCAGTCAATACCATATAGTATAGACTGGTAATAACTGACAAATTTTTTTTGTTCCAAAAAATATCAAAGTGGATATCATTTTGAAGAGCACAATTAATCTGATCTAACTGTGCAAAAACAATTAAATTCCGAGTTAAAACGTGTGAGAAATCGTCCGTTAAAGATTAAGGGAAAGAAAATTAATGATTTTCCAGTAGAGAGAAGGAGGGGATGATGTGGCAGATTCTTATTGGGTTATGCATGGGGTTACTCACCACAAGGTTACTCACATGATATGCTCTTGTTGCGGAATTAGTTTTAATTGATGGACTCTCCTTCCATAACCGGCTCCCACAAAAGGGCTCAAGTTAGGGTGCATAACCATGGGTTATGCACCCATCAATAACCAAATCTGGACCCTTCATTTAGAAAATCCAGATCTAAGGATGGAGAATTAAAACTCATTTTTATTTTCACTAGTTTTCTTAATTGACTCAAATCTTTTTCGTTTTAACTCGGATTTTAGTTTTTTTTTTTTGCACAGATGGAACGAGTTCATCGTGCTCTACAAAATGAGATCAATTTTCAATATTTTTTTAGGAAAAAAAATTCTGGCCTCTCGGTACCAACTGCATACCATATGGTATCTTCTTCGTTTTTAATTCGTTTTTGAAAACGTTTGCACAGCAGGGACGAGTTCATCATGATCTATTGGATCTACAAATTTCTGGGTGAACAAATTACAAGACAAAAAAATACCACACAATACCACCCTGGTACGGGGTGGTATCTTATGGTATACAATGTTAAAAGTCGTAAATGACAATTAATATACTTCTACTATCATGTATTCAACCATCCTACAATTTTGGTTTGTGTCATACCACCATGGTACGCTTTTCAAATCATATGTATGCTCTTATTTCAATACCAGTCAATACCATATGGTATAGACTGGTATAAAATGGCTCGATTTTTTTTTTGTTCGAAAAATATATCAAAGTGGATATCATTTTGAAGAGCACAATTAATCTGATCTAACTGTGCAAAAAAAAAAATTAAATTTCGACTTAAAACGAGTTAGAAATCGTCCGTCAAAGATTAAGGAGAGGAAAATTAAAGGCTTTCCAGGAGAGAGAGGATGCTGATGTCATGCTGATGTGGGCGGGTTACTCATAGTTACTCACCATAAAGTTACTGACCTGATCCATTCCCCCACAAAAGGAAGGTGTTTTTCCCCAATGGTTAACGAATCTTCAATTTCTATAGTTTCTTAAGAAAGATAATTGAGTTGGATAAAAAAAATTGAGGAATAATTCATTACCAGTATGTTTTGTAGTACTTACTACACTCGAATTGTTTCTTTTTACATGTCTTGATAGTTGATACTAATACAAGTTAAACCACGACAGATTCAACACCTACCTTTACTTTTTTTTTTTGGGTAGAAACATGGCGCTAAGGGCGCCCTAACCTTTATTAAGAAACAATAACACGGGGAGTCTGAATACCCTGACGATCATAGTACACCCAATACAAAAGAGTAGTGTTCGGCCTATCAAGAATGTGTAACCCAATTGGGTCGGATTGACCCAAGGCCGCTAGGTAGTCCGCCGAGTGGTTGGCTTCGCGATAGACATGCTCGATACGGACAGTCCATGGGCGAGCAAGCCATCTTCTAATCTCAGCAACCTGTATATAGTGAGGATGATGTGGATTTGCCCTCTCAATTAGTGATGTCGCTGTACGTGAGTCTGTCTGCAGAACAACTTTCCTGGCTCCCTGATCCCAGGCAAGTTTTAACCCATACACAATACCAGCCAGCTCTGCACGAGTGATTGAACCCCCTCCAAGGTTCGCTGTGAATGCTCGAATGAAGCGACCATCGTCCCCCCGCACAATGCCGCCGCAACTCGTACTCGCAGGAGAGGAAACGACTGAGCCATCTGTATTGACACAGACCCAGCCTTGCGCCGGTGGTTGCCAGCCAATTAGGCGCTTCTCACGGAGTCCCCCATCTCCAAAGATGTTTCTCTCCTTCTCGAAAGCCTTAAGAATTTGGTTTCGGAGCTGTTTAGTGTGGAACTGGATTTGTGCACAGGTCTTCAACTCGCCCTGGAACAAGAAGCCATTCCGGTTCTTCCACAGCAGCCAACACGTTCCTGCAAAGAGAGTACTGTCAATAGTGGTACTACGATCTGTCAAGTAAAAATGAGCCCACTTATTGACGTCCTCCTCGAAGAACAGGTTGTCTGGTTCATCTTCCAACAGGCCCGCCCATGTTGCTCGAGCAAACGGGCAGTCGCGAATAACGTGGATCGTAGTCTCCGGGCCATCTCCGCAAATCTGACAGTCAGTGTTTGAAGTGAGGTGTCGGCGGCTTCGCTCTGCGTTGGTGAGTAAGCGATTGTGATTCAGCAACCAAAGGAAGGCTCTCACCCGCTGCATCGTCGGGGCTTTCCAAACCGAACGCCAGACCGGCTGGGTGTGCATTGGTCCTGGTGCCGAGTCGGTGATGTCATAGGCGGTCCGCAGCGTGAATTCTCCGGCGGGGGCAAATCTCCAAACACGTACATCATCGGCCGCTTCGTTCGGAACTGGATGAAGCATCACCTGCGAGACCAAAGACGAGGGTAAGTAGCGACTTAAAAAAACAGTGTTCCACTCACCATTTAAGACGAAATCCGCCACTGGCATTTCACAAATCTCCTGCGGAAGGTTAGGCGCATGGTCTTTCAGGACCGTGGCATCGTCCAGCCACCGATCTGCCCAGAACCTCGCCACCCTCCCATTTCGCACATTCCATGCTGTAGCTTCCTCAAGCAAGTGAGCCACTCGCACCACTCCCCTCCATAGGTTAGAGAGTCTCCCTGTAGTTCGAAAAACTTGCCCCGAGCTTGTCTTCTTGCAGTATTTGGCGGCGAGTATTCTTGCCCAGAGCTCCTCCGGTTTCGTCAATAGGCGCCAAGCTATTTTCAACATATATGCCTCATTGGTTCTTGTGGAATCCCGGAGTCCCAAGCCACCCTCATCCTTCGGCCTACATATTGTTTCCCAGTCCACCAAGTGGATTTTGCGCCCCTGCTCTGTACTTCCCCAAACAAAGGCCCGTATCTTCTTGTCAATATAGTCCCGCACGCTGGCCGGCAAGAAAGAAGTCTGCATGGTGTATGCCGGCAAAGACGAGAGCACCGATTGCGCTAGGGTGATCCTTCCTGCAAGAGACAGAGTCGAAGCTTTCCATCCCGCCAACCGTTTATCAATCCGGTCAATTAAATCCGTGTAGGTCTTCTTCGATACTCTGTCATGAATTACCGGAACCCCCAGATAGCGGCCCAGGTTCATCGTCTCCGGTATCTGTAGTTCCTGGCTTAAACTCAGCCTCTGGCTTGTCGTGGTATTCGCTGAGAAGTACACCCTGGATTTAGGCTTGCTGACTTGCTGACCCGAAGAAACTCCAAACTTCTCGAAGCAAGCATTCATTTCCTGGACCTGTCCACTCGTTGCTTCGCCAAAAAGGATCAAGTCATCAGCAAAAAAGAGATGGGACAACTTTGGCCCATTATTGCTCAGTCTAATCGGCCGCCATCGCCCGCATCGAACCGAATCCTCGATCAGGTGCCCCAGTCTTTCCATGCACAACGTGAAAATGTACGGCGAGAGAGGGCATCCTTGACGAAGTCCCCGCGATGGTCTAAAACTCTCAGTCAAACCTCCATTCCACTGGATCTGCATCGTGGCCGAGGAGATGCATTCCATAGTCAGTTCCACGAACTTCTGTGGTGCCCCTATCGCTTCAAGGGTATCTCGGACGAACCCCCATCGGATCCGGTCGTAGGCCTTGGCCAGGTCAACCTTAAGAACCATCCAGCCAATTCTTCCTTTTCGAGCACGCATGGTGTGAACCACTTCCTGCAGGATGCAGATGTTGTTTGTGATGTGGCGGCCCGGGACAAAGCTGGTTTGAGTCTCATGCACCAGACTCGGCATTAGGCCTTTGAGCCGCTCCGCTAGGCACTTCGTAATTGCTTTGTATGCCACGTTGCAAAGGCTTATCGGTCGAAACTGCTCTATAGAAGTGGGCTGCTGTATCTTCGGGATTAGAACAAGTATAGTGGCGTTAATTTCCTTTACCTTCTCCGGCTGATTCCAACAGTCCAGAACTAGTTGAGTCAGAGACGGCCCCACTGTTTCCCAACATCGTTGGAGGAAAAGTGCATTGAGCCTGTCCTTCCCAGGCGCTTTCAGGGAGCCCATGGACCTTATGATTCCATAAATCTCCTCCGCAACAGGCTCGTTGTGCATTGCTGTCCAGCAAGATGGGTCAAGTGATGGGAAATTGCTCTGCAGCGGCGGCAGATCGCCCCCCTCATCAGTATAAAGGGTGCTGAAAAATGATCGTGCTAGCTCCAGTAGAGCCACTGGGTCGTCAATCCAATCCCCATTACTGTTCTTGAGCATCAGTATTCGATTCCTCTTACGTCGATGGGTAGCCCTAGCATGGAAATAACTTGTGTTCTTATCGCTAGAGGCCATCCACTCCAAGCATGATTTTTGGCACCAGGTCAGTTCTTCTTGAAAGAGGACTAGCTCAAGCTCCTCTTGAACGTGTTGTAGCTGCTCTGCCGCCCCTCTATTTTGTCCCGCACGTTCCAGCCTCTCAATCTTCTTCAAGAGCTGGTCCTTTTTCGAGTAATGTGGCCGAATATCTCCTTGTTCCAGACAGTGGCATCCCGAGCAAACTCCTCTGCAGACTTCGTAATAGAGTTACCCTTGGCCCATGCAGCATTCGCCATGTCCCGAAACTCCTCATGGGTTAGCCAGGCCGCCAGGAACCGGAAAGGTTTAGGTCCCGCGGGCGCATGATCAGAGAGCAGGGACACCAGGAGTGGGCGGTGGTCTGATTTCTTCATCCGAGGTAGGTGTCGAACTAGTGTCTCCGGGAAGCAAGAGTTCCACAAGTCATTCGCCATTGCTCTATCCAATCTTTCCCGGAGACCCGTGCGGAACCATGTGAAGTCTGGACCTACATATCCAAGGTCGATGAGGCCGGTATCTTGTACAACTTCTTGGAAGTCCTGAATTCTGGCAGCGTCAAATGGAGCACCGCCGAGCTTTTCGCTCGGGCTAATAATTGAGTTAAAGTCCCCGATCAAAACCCAAGGTTGGTTCATGTCCGAAGCGATAGCTCTCAGCTCATCCCAAAGCCCCCTCCTCTGAACCGGGGCTGGGTTTCCGTAGATGGCCGACAACTGCCAGTCCGGGACTTGACTGTTAATATCATGAACCTGCACATGGAGACACTGTGGGTGAGCGCGAATCTTTGTGATTGAAAAGTCACAAGCATTCCACATAATCCAAATACCCCCGGCGTAACCAACAACATCAATTACAAATTTGCTATCAAAACCCATATCCCGAATAACTTCTGAAACGCGATCCCCGCTAATACGGGGTTCCACTATAATCACTATTTTAGGATGAAACTTCCTACGATATTCCCGAAAGGTACGCAAGAACATTCTACTACCCGCCCCCCTACAGTTCCAAGCAAAAGTTTTGCAATCCATAAAGACTAGGGGAAGGAAAGAGAGCTCCCTTGTGTTATCTCGAGGACGGGTCAGCCCCGTCGATGATCATCCCAGACGAGTTTGTCTTGGTTGGTTCGCTGGTGTCCATTTGAGCTTGAACGTGCTCTGTTTGGTCTGTGTCCGGTGGGCGCCCCGTTTGTGCTACTTCTGGTGGAGGGTATGAGTGATGAGATTGGTGCCCTTTCATTCCCGTAGAACTTGTTGACGCCTTTTGCTTGCTGGGCATCGGGGCACCTAGCTCCTTGCCCGTAGAAACATCCTCCATAACTGGTCTCGCCTCATGACCAATCCCCTTCCCATTAGCAGTAGGAAGCTTTTTGGCCATGTTGAGTTCAGGACAGGTGGATATCGTGGGGCTAACCGGAGTCGCCCCCTTCTTTTTGTTTGGGTGGTTTTTCTTGGTTTCTTTTGCCCCGGTCTCTCTTGTCTGTGTCCCTGGTTCAGGATTGTCCATGTTAGCGTTCTCCTCCTTCTCGGACGTAAGTTCATCCGTATCCTCCACCTGTAGTGCATGGAACCGCGATCCTCCCCCCTTTGTTTGTTTGGTTGATCTTGACTTGTCCGCTTGTTGGGTACTCCCACTTTCCTGGTCCGGTCGGTGTGGTCTAGGTTTTCTTTTTGCGATCATCCACTCCCCATATACCGCCTCTGGTTGTTTATCGGTACGTGGCATCTCCTTTTCGACGGCGTCTGCTTCCATGGGCTCCTGCTGTCTCGTGCATGTGCATGCACCTCTCTCTGCATACGTACCGCAATTGAGACATATTTTCTCCAGGCCCTCATACTGGATGAAATACTTCTTGCCATTAATGGAGAATTTGGAGAGCAGTGGTTTGGTTAAGTCCACCTGGACGCATACCCGTGCATAATCGCTCCGTGCTACAGTTCGGGTTGCCTCATCAATTCGCAATGGTTTGCCGATTCGGCGAAAAATCTTCATGACAGCTTCTCGATGGAAGTAGTGGACTGGAATGTCGAGGAGCCTCCCCCAGACTAACGTCGAGGACACCTCATGGTTATACGGGTCGAAATCCCTCTCCCACATATGAACTGTGAGGTAGTTCGGTCCTATCATCCATGGTCCGTTTGTCACCGCTCTTTCATAGTCAAGGCCACTAGTGAATCGGACTAGGAAATACCCGTTTTTCATTGACGTAACTTGAATACCCCCAGCTTTTGCCCAAATGGCATTCAGTCTCAAAGATACAGCAGTGTAGGAGACCGCACGCCCTAGGGCTTTGACGATCAGTGAGGAACGCAGTTCTCGACTATAGGTTCTCTCCTCTGTGGGTGAGAAGTAGATTTGAGGGTAGGTAGGATCATCCTCTCCGTCGAACCCTGTTTCTCGCCCGTCCTCCCGAATGGCTGCTGCAGTATCTTCAGAGTCGGAGTCGGCAGTATACCATTCGGTAAGCCTAGCAGTATCTCCGAACAGGCGGCGTGCGGCTCCCATCCCTTGAGTCCATGCGTTAGGTCGATGGCTAGGTGAGCTGGTCCTGATCTCGGGAGCATCCGGCAGAACTTCATCACTCTCCCCACCAAGATTCGGCAATGTAGCTGTCTGCTTAACCCGCTTTTTCATGTGTTGAGCTTCACGGTCATTCTTAGCGTTGGGCGACGAAGAATCCGTCAGCGAACGCCTTTGACCTGAGACAGATTCAGGTTGCTGAGGCAGGGAGGAACCCCCTACAGCGGTCGGCGGCACGACGTCCGCCGACATGGAGACGCAACCCTAGTTTGATCGCCGAGTGTTTTGCAGTCGCCCTCCTATTCTTTCGGAGCTCTCGAAACCAAATCCTATCTCACATTGAACAAGATTTTAGTGGATAATGCAGAAAGAAAAAGATGTGTTACCAATATTGAACATATATTTATTTTTTCTGGTGAAAAAGGTGCAAGCACCTCGGCCTCAATTACTTAACTTTGCGGACAACAAATCCGCCAACAGAGTCATACAAAAGCCAGCGGTCAACGTCCGGGCTACTAACACTGAAAGAGATAGATCCTGGGTCTAACAAGTGACCCTGGTGAGCAAGACAGTCGGCTAAAAAATTAGCCTCCCTATAGATATGGCGAACTACAACCTCCCAGTCTCTCCGAACCAGTTCACGAAACTCTAGAACTAGGCTCGCGTGCTGGTGGGTCGTCGGTGCTTCCAGTGATAAGAGCTGTACAGCAGTAGTGGAATCAAGCTGGAGCTCAACTCTGCGGTGACCTGTATCCCAGGCCATATGAAGCCCTCGGATGGCGCCCCAGATTTCTGCTCGAGTAATGGTACATCTTCCCAGTTCATTGAGAAACCCCCCAGTAAGCGACCCTGTTAGTCTCTAAGTGCGCCCCTGCAGCGGTAGACCCTGACGGTTTCAGGATAGAGCCGTCAGAATTCACTGTGATCCATCCTGTCGGAGCCGGTCTCCACCCAACAGCCATGTCTCGACTCGGCTCCGACCTCCCCAGTGAAGTAGCTTGGTCCGCTGCTTTACTTCTCTGCGCAGCGACCTCCCAGGCGAGGATCTTTTGCGTCAACTTACTCGGGGATTTCTCAATGGCTGAAAAGACATAGTCATTTCTCGAGCGCCATAAGAACCAGCACGTGAGGCCGAACCGTACCTGGTGGTTATGGCTGCGCAGAAGGTCCATGAACCAAGACTTCATGTCCCTTCGATCCGAAGCTCGAGCTGCCGCCGGGAGCACCTGTTGCCACACTTGCTTTGCGTAGCTGCACGTACGGAGAGTGTGCTCAATAGTCTCCGTCCCCGTCTTGCATCATGGACAAGTAGTTGAAGTTGCTAGGTGGTGTCTCTGTCTCTCGGCATTGGTGAGGAAAGAATCATGCGCCGCGAGCCACAGAAAATGCCTGACCCTATTATGGCCTGGCCATCTCCACACGTCCCGCCAGCCGGAGTCCTCGTCGTCCCTGTCCACCTCGGCTACAAGTTGATAGGCTGAGCGAATAGTGAAGTTTCCTTTTTCTTCAAGGCCCCAAACAATGGCATCATCTCCCAAGTTGGGTTTCGGTGGAGGGGTCCCTACAACCTGCAAAACAAAATCTCTAGGTAAGAATTGTTCGATAAGAGGCAAATTCCACTCACCTTCAGGAGTAGTCATCTCGGCTACTGTTGCTTCACTTTGGAAGCCTGGCTTTGTCGTCCAAGCATTGTCCACTAGCGCCACGCCGCTGTCCAACCACTTATCCTGCCAAAATAGAGTTGTTCTTCCATCCCGAACACTCCAGCTAATTTCTTCGAGCATCAATCCCCATACCCGCCGGACACCTCTCCACAACTGCGAGCATCGCGTCTTTCAGCGTAGCTCGACCCCATTATGGTCCTCCTTGAGATACTTCTCCTTCACCACTCGGACCCATAGCTCATCCGGTTGCTTGAGGATGGACCAGGCTAGCTTTAGGAAATAAGCCGTGTTCAGTTCCCTCGCCATCCGCAAGCCCAGCCCTCCCTGTTTCTTTGGAAGACACAGAGTTTCCCAATTCACAAGGTGTATCCGACGGCGTCCCTGCTGCGATCCCCATACAAATGCCCTTATTTTGCGATCAGTGTAGTCGCTAATCCCCATAGGAAGTACCGATGTCTGCATAACATAGGAGGGTATCGCGTTAAGGACAGACAAAGCTAGAGTTACCCGACCTGCCAATGAGAGACTCTCCGCTAGCCAGCCCGCCAACCGCTGATCCACTCTGTCAATTATATATTGGTACGGTCTGTTTGGTGACTCTGCCATGTAGGACAGGAACACCCAAGTAGCGTCCCAGATCCTGTGTCATAGGGATAGCCAGGCGGTCACTGATCTCTTTGCATAAGGTGCGATCCATGTATTTAGAGAAGAACACTCGCGACTTCTCACGACTAACAAGCTCCCCTGATCCTTGACAGAAAGCATTTATGCACTGCAGCACAACATCACCTTGCTCAATACTAGCCTCCGCGAATAGTACGAGATCGTCCGCAAAGAAAAGATGTGAGAGTTCGACTCCTCCTCTAACAAGTTGGATTGGCTTCCACTTCTTTCCTGCAACCAGCTCAACAATCATATGGGATAAACGCTCAATGCACAAGGTAAAAATGTAGGGTGATAAGGGGCATCCCTTACGGAGTCCTCTCGTAGGACGGAACGGGTCAGTGCAGGTCCCATCCCACAAGACCTCGAAGGATGGCGAGGCGATACAAGCCATAACCGCCTGGCTGAACTTATCTGGTAGTCCCGCTGCCACTAGGGTACTTGCCACAAAACTCCAGTCCAGTCGGTCGTATGCTTTAGCTAAGTCAATTTTGAGAGCCATGTGGCCACGCTTCGCCTTCCGAGTTTGCATCGTATGTACCACTTCTTGTAGGATGATAATATTGCTCTGGATACTCCGCCCCGGAACAAAGCTAGTCTGAGTAGGTTTGACCAGCTGTGGCATTAAGGGCTTTAGTCTATTTGCCAGGCATTTTGTGAATGCTTTGTATGACACATTGCACAAACTGATAGGCCGGAACTCAGCCACCGACGAGGGGCTCCGTTTTTTCGGGATTAGTGTGATCAAAGTTTCGTTTACCGAGGCTACCAGACCGGGATTTCTAAAGCATTGGAGGAGAAACTCCGAGAGAGGCCCTCCAACCTTGCTCCAGCAGCGCTGGAAGAACAGAGGATGATATCCGTCCTTTCCCGGTGCTTTATGTGGCCCCATCGACTTGATCGCAGCAAGCACTTCCACCTCGTTTATGTCCATCTCCAAGGCTGACATCGAATTCTCCACCTGGGGGAAATTGGCCGGGAGAACATATCTAGTGGTCGGGTCTTCTTGGTAAAGGCTCACAAAGAAATCACGGACTAGGTTCTGGAGCTCGTTGCTGTCCTCCACCCACGCACCATTGTTGTCCTTGAGTTTGCGTATCCTGTTGAAACTGCGTCTCCTCAAGGTTGACAGATGGAAATATCTTGTGTTGCTATCTCCTTCATTGAACCATAAGGCTCTTGACTTCTGAAACCAAAGAATTTCCTCCTCTTTCAGCACAGAATGTAGGTTGCGTCTTGTCACCTCTTCCTCTTCCAAGCTTGCATTTGATGGATTGGTTACATTTCTTAATTCTAACTCCTGCAACCGTCTGAGAATCCTCCGTTTCTTAGCATGAATATTGCCAAAAACCTTCTTATTCCATTCCCGCAGATCCTTCGTAAGGGAGGTCAGCCGTTCTCCATAGCTGAAACCTTTATTCCATCCTTCCTCAAGGACCCGCTCAAAATCTGTATGCGTCAACCAGGGAGCGAGGAAACTAAACGGTTTCTGGCCCTTGGAGCGCTTCGTTTGACGTTCAGTAGAGGTAAGGATCGGTCGATGGTCAGATTTAACTCTTTGCAGGTGGGTCGTCGATGTCTCCGGGAAGCATTGTAGCCATGCCGTGTTACATATGGCTCTATCCAATCGTTCTTTCAAGCCTCTAGCGCCTGTCCAGGTGAAGTGTGGGCCCGTGAAAGGAAGGTCAATAAGACCGCAGTCCTCCATAGTCGCGCGGAACTCTTTGCTTGCGGCGAAGTTGAAACCAGCGCCGCCTTGTTTCTCTTCCCGGCTAAGGAGGGCATTGAAGTCACCAAGCAGCAGAAGCGGTTTCATGCTAGCCCCTGTTATACGTCGAATAGTTTCCCATAGATCTCCCGACGGGTACTCAGTTGTGGTGAACCATAGACGCCCGCTACGAAAGCTTCCTCCCCATTACCCATATTGAGTTTCAGAAGGATTAGCTGGTCAGTTGCCTCTTCTAGAGTGATCATTGTATTACTCGAGTTCCACAAAGCCCAAATGCCCCCTGCGAATCCCCGAGCTTTCACTCGTCAGTTCGTATCAAAACCCATCCCCCGGATCACCTTCTCCGCTGCTGCTCCACTGATCCTGGGTTCAGAAATAAATACTAATTCAGGTCGATGAGTTCTCTTGAACTCTCGAAAATGCGTCAAAAAATCGGGGTCGGCCGCCCCACGACAATTCCATGCAAAAACACAAAAGACAAAGAACAAGAGACTCCCTTTAGCGAGGGAGTTCAAGTTGACGTCGCATCCATCTCGGTCAGGGTATTATCCCCGCCGACCGAGACGTTCTCCTTTCCTCCCAGAGCCTGTGCTCTTAATGGCAAATTCACATCGACATTTAAATCGAGGCTACGAGCTAGACCTCTCTCTTGGTTTTGGGGTCCACCCATCATGGAAGCTTTGGCTCCCTTGTCGACAACAGCTCCCTGCTTGGTCCCTTTCAGTTTATGGTTAGGGGATAGCTTAGTGGTGTCTGGTGCATGCTTGGACTGAACAACGGGTGACTTGGTTGTTGCAGACCGACCCTGGGCGCTGGCCACGGTAGTCTGCTTAGCTCCAACTGAGTCTCCACCAGCAGCTTTTGAGCTGGCATTCACCACCTTATGACCCTTGGGAATCCCCTTCGTCATTTGTTGTACCCGGACCTCC